ATGAAACAATGGTCTCTTTTGATGTCACATCACTCTTTACGTGCATTCCTGTTGATGATGCAGTAGAGGTGGTCAGTTTAAAATTAAAATCAGACACCACTCTGAGCAGCAGGACCACGCTTTCCACAGAACAACTGTGTCAACTCTTGAAACTGTGCCTGCAGTCAACCTACTTCACATATGGGGAGCAATATTATAGGCAGAAACATGGGTGTGCTATGGGGTCTCCAGTTTCTCCTATTGTTGCCAACCTGTACATGGAGGAGGTAGAAAAGAGAGCCTTGACGTCCTTTTCAGGGACACCACCAAGTCATTGGTTCAGGTATGTTGACAACACCTTGGTTAAAATCAAATCTCAGGAAGTCCAACATTTTACTGAACACATCAACTCTGTGGATAAATACATCAAGTTCACACGAGAAGATGTAAAAAATGGCAGGTTGGCTTTCTTGGACTGTGAGGTCTCAGTCTCTGATAGAGGACATTTGCAAACTGAGATGTACCACAAACCCACCCACACAGACCAGTATTTGCAATTTGACTCCCATCACCCTTTGGAGCACAAGTTAGGAGTCATCAGGACTCTGTATCACAAAGCAGACAGCGTCCCCACTAGCTCAGGAGCCAGGCAGAAGGAGAAATCCTACACAAGACTGGCTCTAGAACAATGTGGATATCCTAACTGGGCCTTCCTGCAAGCAGAGAAGAAACCCAAACAGGACTCCAGTCAGCCAACAGGTGAAAAGGAGGGACCCAGACCCAGACCAGTGATCATTCCATATGTTGAGGGAGTATCAGAGAAACTGAGACGTTTATTTTCTAAACATAACGTCCCAGTGGCTTTTAAACCCCAAAATACATTACGGCAAAGACTGGTTCATCCCAAAGATCCAGTCCCCCGGCACAAACAGAGCAATGTTGTGTATGCTGTTCAGTGTCAGGAGGGCTGTGATCAGTCTTACATCGGGGAAACTAAACAGCCACTGGCCAAAAGGATGGCCCAGCACAGAAGATCAACATCATCAGGCCAGGACTCTGCGGTCTACACTCATCTCCAGGCCAGCAGTCACTCTTTCAGGGATGAAGATGTTCACATCCTGGACAGAGAGGAACGATGGTTTGAGAGAGGAGTAAAGGAGGCCATCTTTGTGAAAAGAAATCGTCCATCGTTAAACAGGGGTGGAGGCATCCGGGTTCAACTGTCCCCCTCTTACAATGCTGTGATTGCTAGTATCACTCAGCCCTCTGTGAACAGTAAACAGCCATCAGTGTGCTAATGATCTTTTGTTAGGCTGATGGTCCTTCTTGAGCATGTGATCAGCTGGTTTTGGTTGTCAGCAGCAAAACTGGTTGATCCACTCTGAGACAGTGCTATTTAAGAGACTGAGCTGAATACAGCTCCTCAGACTGAGGAAGTCTCTTGGATGAGAGACGAAACGTTTCTACATTTTTTTGTTGATTTGCTTTGTTTTGTTTTTTTGAATGTCCAGAGGACCAGATTTAACTTTTTTAGACCCATTACAAGGTTGAATAGACAGTATTTTAACTAGAGTTGATGACAAACTGGAGTTGAAATATCAGTGGAAATGATCAGTACTTATTCCTTTGTTAGTTGTGTCTAATGCTCATTTTGTTCAGGCAGACAACTTTCACTTAAATGTGTTTAATGCAGTTAAAATGACACATTGGTTTTGCTTTGTGTTAAATAAAAACTTTCGAAGGTATAATCATTCCTCTCTTATTTTGATTAATGGCATTTAACTCTGCATGCCATCCCTGAAATTCTGACGCACAGAATCACAAGTCCAAGAGTGAACTGTGTCACAGAGTAAACACAATAAAAACATTAATTGTCTGCAGCATTGTTCATTAAAATGGCTCAACACTATTAACGTATTACAGAAAATATACATACGGTAGGCACAAAGATATGTAGACCATTGCATTATGTAATACATTCAGGAAGTACTTTTACTTTTAATACTTTAAGTATTTTAAAAGTAAGTACTTATTTACTTTTACTTAAGTAAAAATGTTAATGTGGTACTTCTACTTTTACTAAAGTACATTTTTGTCTGTTTATTTGTACTTTTACTTAAGTACAGTGTTTGAGTACTTTCTCCACCACTGCTAAACTCTCGTCTCACCTCCAGTAATGTCCAAACTGAGAACTAAACAAAGCACAACACCTGCTGCACATATCTTTTTGTAAATCCATGGGTGGTTTACAAAACTAGAGGACTAGATTCCTACAACCTCATTCTCTATTTTATTTATTTATTTTGTATCTATGACCTACAAGGAGCTCCGTAAAAGTGACAGGAAAGAGCAGGCTTTTAGGCAGAGGATGTATGCCACTGAGTCATAATGGAAGAACACACGATGGGATTATAACCCAGCTGTCCATTACTTTAGGTTTTTATCTGTGGTACAGTGTTTTAACAATCTGTGCCAGTTCAGCACAGGACAAACTTTAACAAGCAGCTGACAGCAGAACAGGACAGTTACTGCGACAACAGCAGGTACCTGAAATAAAACTAACACTCTAGTCTGTCTGGTTTTTATTTTGAGTACAGCTCACTATTATCATGATTCCTATCAGCTTGGTGAATATTACTCAATGCTTGAACTACAAACAAGGTATAAAATAAAAGGGCTAAAATGTCCCTGCACAGCTAAGCTTTAGACAAAGATCTCGTGTTTAGAGTGCGCGCCTAATGTGAAAAGCACATCAAAATACAAATCAGTATCTAGTTCAGGGCGCAGTTGGAAGAGCTGCTGCCTCTCAGCAAGCAGTTCGCCCTGGTTCAAATCCTGGACCGTGGGCCTTTCTGTGTGCAGCTTGCATGTTCTATCCATGCTGTGTGGGTTTTCTCCCACAGACCAAAAACATGCATGTTATTCTGATTGGTAACTCTAAAATTGTCCCTAGGTGTGAATGAAAGAGTGAATGGTTGTTTGTCTCATTTGTCTCTATGTGTCCCTGTGATGGACTGGAGACCTGTCCAGGGTGTCCCCCACCTCTCACACAGTGATTGCTGGACATGGGCACCAGTGACCCCTGCGACCCAAAAAGGAAGAAACGGGTAAAGATGATGGATGGATAAATCGATGGATGGCTGGATGGCTGGATGGCTGAATGGATGATCTATTTTATTTCTTAACTTTTATTTAACCAGGCAAATCCCAGAGAGATCACAGATCATTTTGCAAAGGAGACCTGGGCCTGAAGACATCCTAACAGCCTGTTTTTGGGATTGTGGGAGGAAATCAGCGTACTCAGAGAAAGTCCACACAAACATGAGAACATGCAAACTCCACGCAGAAAGACCCCAGGTCCAAACTGGGAAATTAATACAGGACCTTCTTGCTGTAGGGCAATAGTGCTGACCACTAAACCATCATGCTGCCAAAAAATTGAAAAAAACAAACAACACAAAAAACAGAGTTCTATGTATTTTTTGTGTTTGCTAAGATGGATTAGTTGGGGCCGCCATGTTGAATCAGGTGAACTTCCAAAATGAATCTGTTGTAGATGAACATTCAATAATTATTTTCTGATAGCTTTGATAACCTAACCCTGACCTTTACCCTAAACCTAACCATTACCAGTACATAACTAACCCTAAAGCTAACACATCCTCAATTCACACCTTAGTCCTAAACCTAACCCCTAACCCACCAACGGCACTGCTCCTTATGGGGCCTGGATTTTGGGCCCCATAAGGAGCAGTTGGTCCTCACAATGTAGTATAAGTTGGAAAAATGGGCCTTACATAGTAACATAAACAAAGACACACACACGCACACACACAGGCAATTACATGATCATCCACCTTTCATGCTAATGACATTATCAGTGTTTTCTAACCAAGTGGTACTCTAGCAGGGACAGCCCTGCGGTCGATCCAGAAGGACACCCAGGACAGCATGACCATGAGCGTGGCAGGGAAGTACGTCTGCAGCAGGAAGAAGAAGATGTGGCGCCTCAGCGTGAAGTTGATGTACAGACGGTTGTATGAGCCTGGAGAAGAGAAGACAGTGAAAGTGAAGCTTGGTGGATGTCAGACTTGAATGGACAGGTGTCCACTTCCTGCCAGTACCTGTACTGCTGTAATAGGCCAGCTTGGTGGTTGTGTGGAACTTTTGGATCAGGAACTGGGAGAGAGAAATCCTCTCATCCGTGTTTAATGAACTGTTCCCTTCTTTCCAGTACAGCATCAAGTCATCATCTGTATATGCATCTGCAGAAAGAAGACGTATCACAGGTAGAAAAGGATTTTAAAATTACATATATATATATATGTATGTATGTATATATGTATGTATGTATGCAGGCAGGCAGGCAGGCAGGCAGGCAGGCAGGCAGGCAGGCAGGCA